ATAGTGAGAGAGGGAACACAAGCAGGGGGAGTGGGAGAGGGAGAAGCAGGCTTCCCGCGGAGCAGGGAACCTGATGTGGGGCTCAATCCCAGGACCCTGGGATCGTGACCTGAGCTGAAGGCAGATGCTTAACGACTGAGCCACCCAGGCGCCCCAGCACTTTTTTTTTTTAAATCATTGACTTTCTCAGTTTCTAAAACTTTACCTCCTTTTTTTCACGCAATACAGGATATTGGTAATTGTCACTTTTTCACTTTTTCAGAGTCACAAATCACTTTTACAGGCACTGTCTTATTAGATTCTCCCATCAGCCTATGGAAAATGTTCACACCGCTACAGACAGATATAGCTGAGCTTGCTGTGACATCATTTATAAGACAGAAGAAAAACTGGAAACAAACTGAAAGCCAGTGAGAGGATCGTTAAATGTGTCACGGGCCATTCGGTGTTCATGCGAGAGAAAATTCTACAGCTATTATAAAAACTTGGGTAGCTCTATACACACTGGCTTTGTAAGATAGCCACGAACTATTTTTAAATTTTAAAAAATCAAGTTCAGAGTCATAATTATAAATAATTATAATATAATATATAATTATATATATAATATAATTATAAATAATTCCATTCATTTTTTTATTTTTTAACAAGTTTTTGAGATTTCTTTGATAAAAATTGTGTAGGTTTAAGGTGTACAACTTGATGTTTTGATATATGAATATATGAATATATTAGATTACCACAAACTAAATAACATATTCACCACCTCTACATAGTTACTATTGTGTGTGTATGTAAAGATGATTTAATTTAAGATCTGTGCTCTTAGCAAATTTCAAGTATGCAGTACGGTATTGCTGACTATCATCACCAGGCTGTACTCAAAGCCCCTGAACTCACTTATCGTGAATAACTGAAACTTTGTGCCCTTTGACCAACATCTCATTTCTGTTTCCCCCCAGCCCCTGATAACCACCAAGCTATTCTTTGTTTCTATGAGTTTGACTATTTGAGGTTCTATACATAAGTGAGACCATACAGTATCTGTCTTTCTGGGTGTGGCTTTTCACTTAGCATGGTGTCCCCCTGGTTCATCCATATTGTCACAAATGGCAGGAATTTCCTTCATTTTTATGGGTGAGTAATATTCCGTCTTATTTTTCTTTATACATTTTCTTTATCCATTCATTCATCAACAGAAACTTGGGTTATTTCCATATCTTGGCTAATGTGAATAATGTTGTAATGAACATGGGACTGCAGAAGTCTCTCTGAGATCCAGATTTCATTTGCTTTGGATACATACCCAGTAGTAGAATCGCTGGATCATATGGCAGTTCTATTTTTAATTTTTTGAGGGACCTCCATACTGTTTTCCATAATGGTGATATACCAGTTTGCCTTCCTACCAACAGTGTACAAGGCTTTGCTTTTCTCTACATCCTCACCAACACTTGTATTGTAGTCTCTTGTCTTTTTGATAATAGCCATTCTAACAAGTGTGTGGTGATATTTCATTGTGGTTTTGATTTGCATTTCCCTGATGGCTGGTGATGTTGAGCACCTTTCCATGTACCTGTTGGCCATTTATATGTCTTATTTTGAGAAATGTCAATTCAAGCCCTTTGCCCATATTTAACCAGGCTATTTGGGTTTTTGCTGTTGAGTTGTATGAGTTCCCTATATCGTTTGAATATTGTCTCCTTATCAAATACATGGTTTGCAAATATTTCCTCCCACTCTGTAGGTTGCCTTTTCACTGTTTTGTTTCCTTTGCTATGCAGAAGCTTTTTAGTTGGATACAGTCCCACTTGCCTGCTTTTGCTTTTATTGCCTGTACTTTTTGGCGTCGTGACCCAAAAATCATCACCAAGACCAATGAATGTCAAGAAGCTTTTTCCCTATGTTTCTTCTACTAGTTTTACAGTTTCAGGTCTTATATGTAAGTTTTTAAATCCAGTTTAAGTTAATTTTTTATATGACGTGAGATAAGGGTTCAATTTCATTCTTCTTCAGGAGATATCCAGTTCTCCCCACGTCCTTTATTGAAGATACTGTCCTTTGCCCATTGTGTATTCCTGGCATCCTTGTCAAAGATCGGTTGACCATAAGTGTGTGGATTTATTTCTGGGCCCTCTGTTCTGTTTCACTGGTCTATACGTATGTTTTTATGTCAGTATCATACCTTTTTTATTACTATAGTTTTGAAGCTTATTGTGGAACCAGGAAGCTTTGTTCTTATTCAAGATTGCTTTGACTATTCAGTCTTTTTTGGTTCCATATTAATTTTAGGAATTTTTTTTCTATTTCTGTAAAGAATGCCATTGGAATTTTGATAGGGATTGAGCTGAAAGTAGTATGAACATTTTAAGAATATTAATTTTTCCAACCCATGAACATGGGATGTCTTTCCATTTATCTATGTCTTCTTTAATTTCCTTCATCACTATTTTATAGTTTTCAGTGTACAAGTCTTTCACTTCTTTGGTTAAGCTTACTCCTAAGTATAGCTGACCCTTGAACAATGTGAGAGTTAGGGACACCAACTCCCCCCCATGCAGTCAGAAATCGCTGTATAACTTTTGACTTCACAAAAACTTGATTACTAATAGCCTACTGTTGACCACAAGCCTTACTGATAACATAGTCAATTAACACATGTTTGGTACACTACTGTAGTCTTACAATAAAGTAACCTAGAGAAAAGAAAATGCTATTAAGAAAATCATAAGAGAACATACCTTTACAATATTGTACTGTATTTAAAAAAAAAAAATCAGCATGTAAGTGGACCAGCTCAGTTCAAACCTGTGTTGTTCAAGGTCAATTGTACTTTATCCTTTTTTATTGCAATTGTAAATGGAATTGACTTTATTAATTTCCTTTTTGATTTGGATGCCTTTTATATCTTTTTATTATCTAATTGCTCTGCCTATGACTTCCAGCACTATGTTGAATCAAAGCGGCAAGAGTGGGTATCCTTGTCTTAGAGGAAAGTTTTCAGTTTTTCCCTACTGATTGTATTAGCTATGGGCTTTTCATAATATGGCTTTGATTGCCTTGAGGTAAGTTCCTTCTATACCTGTTTTGTTGAGAGTTTTTATCATGAAAGATGGTGAATTTTGTCAGATGCTTTTTCTGAATCTATTGAGATAGTCGTGTGGTTTTATCTTTCATTCTGTTAATGTGGTGTATCACCCTGATTGATTTACATATGTTAAACCATCCTTGCATCCCAGGAATAAATCCTACTTGGTCATGATGTATAATCCTTTCAATGTGTTGTTAAATTCAGCTTGCTACTATTCCATTGGTGTTTTTGCATCTTTGTTCACTAGGAATATTGGCCTGTAGTTCTCTTTTCTTAAAGTATCTGGCTTTGTTTGGTGTCAGGATGATGTTGGCCTCATAAGATGAGTTTGGAAGTATTCTCTCTCCTTCCCATTTTTTGGAAGAGTTTAAGAAAGATCAGTATGAATTCTTCTTTGAATGATTGGTAGAATTTACCCACAAAACCATCTGGTCTGGGGCTTCTCTTTGTTGGGGGGGGTTGGTTATTACTTTAATCTCTTTATTTGCATTCATCTGTTCAGGTTTTTATTTCTTCTTGATTCAGTATTGGTAGGTTGTATGTTTCTAAGAATTTATCTATCCTAGATATTTATAGATCCTGGATCTTTTATAATTTTTTAAACCCTCCATGTATATGTGTGTGATCTATAAGCACAAAAAATATCAGGAAGGACATATGCTAAACTGTTAATAGTCATATTGCTTGGGCTGGGATCACACAGAGGTGGGGGAAGAACTCTCACTTTTTTTTTTTAGTTTGTTACAAAAATTATACTTCCATACTGTTAAAAAAAAATCTATTTTAAAACCACAGCCTGAGATGAATTCTAAGGAGAGACAATCACACCTGTTTTTCAGAGGAAGTAACCAAGTCTCAGTGAGATGGAGTAAATTACTCATGTGGCTAAAAATTGGTGGGGCATTTGTTTAAACATATATGTATGCTATGTTTCACAATTCCTTAGAAAAGCGTTTTTTAAAAATTAGGGAAGAAAGGGAAAACCTAGTTTCCTGGAGCCCAGATCCAAGACTTCATTTGCTACCCACACCAACCATTGCACAAAGGCTTAACAAGCAGATTGCTGATCTTCACTGAGCAAGGAGGAAGTTGAGTCCTGCACAAGCAGATGACCTTGGCAGGTTGGGGCATCCGCAGCCTGAGCCATCACTCTCTCTTTATCAGGAATGCTGCATCTCACAGGCTGGCCACTGCCCTCCCAGAGTCACTGGACTGACTCAGAACCTAACCATTCCCTGCTTGCCCAAGGCCATGGGGAAGATTCACTCAGTGCCAATGGCAGCTATGGATGCAGCCAGAAGGGCACGTCTGCCCGTGCAGGGCAGTCCCACTCCCAATAAGAGAAATGCACTTTGCACATGCTTTAGGGGAAATATCCTGGGATGAAGCCAGAGCCAGATGGGCACTGAGCTTATTAAAGGCATGACTGTGGGCGCCTGGGTGGCTCAGATGGTTGAGCGTCTGCCTTTAGCTCAGGTCATGATCCCAGGGTCCTGGGATCACGTCCTGCATTGGGCTCCCTGCTCCTTGGGAGCCTGCTTCTCCCTCTGCCTCTCTCTCTCTCTCTCTCTGTGTGTGTCTCTCATGAATAAATAAAATCTTTAAAAATAAATAAATAAAATAAAAAATAAAGGCATGATTGTTACCAGAAAACATTGGCAAAGATGTATGGGTACTTTTGTATATCCATGTGGGTGTGTGTGTGTGTGTGTGTGTGCATTTTATACACACCCCACACACATACATACATGCACACACACCTCCCTGAATCCCTTTCAATTACAACATTGTCTTCGCGATTGTTCTACAGTATACCTTAAAGTTAACCCTTATGTAGGGTGGAGATGCTGTGCCTCACGCCTTTTCAGGCGAGGCTGTTGTTCTTACTCTTGTTTTTCCCTCTTGCCAGGTGCAGCTCATCCACTATAACCATGAGTTATATACAAATGTCACAGAAGCTGCAAAGAGCCCTAATGGATTGGTGGTGGTTTCTATATTTATAAAAGTAAGTGTCTTGCATTCTTTCATTCTTTTCTTGCCATTCCCAGTCCGGTCAGAATACCAGCTCAGTCTCTGTTGGATCTCAGAAATAACCAAAGGGGTGAGGTCCGTGCCCAAGAAAAGCTGCGGGATGGTGACTTTTATACCCATGAGATTTGTGACACATGAGGTCCTTTTCATGCAGAAACGATGGCTCCATTTCAGAGCTCCAGAGCCTGAGGATTCAGCAGCCTTTGTTCTAGAGAGAAAAGGGGAGCTGGAGCCAACAACAGGCTTCAGGTCCCACATCATGCAAAAGGATGCAACAGAAGAGGAGGGGTGGCTCACTGACACCCCACAGCATTAAGCTCCTGTCCCTCAGTGGCCCCTTGGAAACAGAGATAGAAGGGCAATGTGAGATGTCCCTCCCCTCCAGGCCCTGCCCTGAACAGCCCCCTCCAGCTTCCCTGAAGTTGCTCTGAATCACACCTCCCATCTTCCTCTCCCTTTCCCTCATTAGCACCCCTGGGAGAAATTAAGGAAAGATCGCTAAGGCTGAGTTTATGACATTCTCAGGAGGCTCCACATCTCCCCAACAGTCAACAACAACAACAGATCTCCAACCAAGAAAATTCCAGTTTGTTAAAAATAATAATAATAATAATCACCTTTAACATTTTGACAGATATGGAGGGAAACAGGTATGCAAATTTAAAAGAAAATGAAAAAAGAAGAAATGTCTTTCCAGTTGGGAAAAAAAGAGAGAGAAAACAAAAGGAATGTGTGACAGTTCCAAAAGTTGGCAGTCACTGTGCTAACCCCTTGGGCAGTTTTGGCCAGACCACGAGAGGCCAGACCCGTCAGAACTTGGAATCTGGTGAATATGATCAGTAGAAATCCAGCATTTGCCACTGGGGGCTTTTAACAGAGTTCTTGTGGTGACATGATCACTGCTCAGGAGACTGGGCACAGGGGCACCCCAGGCACTACCCCCATTTCTTCTCCCAAAGCATCATCACCCTTTGCAACAGGCACTTGGCCCTGCCTGGTCCTCCCCTTCCAGAGTGCATGCCATCTCCTGAGTTCCTCTCCCTCACGGGGGTCCCATAGGGCCTTCTTGTGGCCTGGGCAGAGCTGAACATTGGCCAGAGGTATCTGTTGGCCGCTCAACTCCTGCAGCTGTCATTAGCAAAGACAGGAAGGGGCTTTTGGCCAGGAAAACATATTTTTGGGCTGTCATACCTTCTGAGTACCTCATGTGATACCCAAAGGACATTGGTTCTGGCAGAGATCCTGCCAGTCCCTACTCTACATCTCTTGGCATCATCACAGACCCGGTTATAATGAACAGCAGATTTCTGAATTCCAGGCACTGAGAGACATACTTTACATATATTTTATGACTTAACCCTAATAATAAACCTGTGGGGTGGACACCAGCATCCTTATGATGAAGAAAATGGCTCAGAGAATCTTTGCATTCCACCCAAGTGCATGGAGCTCCCAACAGCCCATCCAGGAAAGGAGCCCAGGTCTTGCTTGACTTTCACACTAATGACCTTCCTCACACCACATGCCTCCCCAACGGAGCGTGGAGAAAGCAACTGAGATGAAGAGGAGAGATCATGACATTTGTAAACATCTTCCCCCATGTCCCTATGCCACCCACAAGCACAGGGCAAACAAACTCTATCTCCCTCCACCAGCCTCAGTCATGACATTGATACAACCTGTGCATTCATCCTGGGCCATGCTCATTGCTGGGAAGCCTGCAGATACGTCACAGTATTGCCTTGTGAGTGTCCAGGAGCTCACCTCCCTCGTTGGCCTTCCCAGTGCCTGGGTTCCATGTCGGCCAACCTCAGCGCCCAACACCGCCTGTCCTTTGGCAGGTGCTTCAGCCTAGGCCCCTGACTGTGCTGCACTTTGCTGAAAGCACTCGAGTCAGTGGATGTCATCCCAGAAGCTCAGGCACATTCCAGCTGACAGGATGATTGATATGCCAGGAAGTTAGCCTCCTCAACAGCAGACCACGGGTGTGTTTCACAAGCTCTTGCAGGGAGATTACTGACGCAGGTCCTGGCTGTGTCCCAGTGGGCTGTTGGGAGGAACTTATGTCCCCACCCCTGCAGTCAGTGAAATTTTGGGGGCCAGCTCCTGCATCTTCTCAGGCCGGTTTGGCCCCCTAGGGACACTTCCATTCTTTCCCTGAGCAAACCTGAAGCTTTCTCGCTGGATCTCAAAATAAGTCACAGCATTTCTATCTTTGTCCAACTTAATCAACTCCCAGATGCTCCACAGTGAGTTATCCAAGCTGAGACTTGTCACTCACTCATCCCAAAACACCAACTAAGTGTGGGACATGGGCCCTTCCTATGCTAAGCACGTGCCTAGATATGAGATGAACAGAGCCCTTGGCTCTAAGAGCACCCAACCTCTGGTGGTCTTCCCCTCCTTCTGATCTTTCTGCACCCCCCTCCTTCCCAGCAAAGATCACTGCAGGGTAGGCAGGCACAGAAAATGAGAGGCCCCTCCTCTGGGTCAGCTGAATCCCTAGAGAAGGCACCCTGGCCAAAAACTGAGCCATAGAAGGGTTGGAGTTGTTGGCTAAAATAAGAGAATTGTTTATCTGTGGGTTTTATTTATCTCTGTCCCCTCCTAATCCCCCACCCTTACCATGACCACAGGGAACTGAGATTTGGCTGTAATTACTGCTCACTCACACACCATTAACTTCCCACTTAAGCTCACTTATACCAAGTACGTACTTTATCCTCCCTCCCACGCCACCAACACACCAAAGCCCACAAATCATCTGTGTGCACTCTGGAAGTTTTTCTGTTATTTTTAATCAGTTCAAAAGGTCCAGTCCCAACATTAGTGCTGCCCAGACTCACCGGATACCAGGAGCCCAAGGCACCCGATTAAGGGGCATGGCAGATTCCTTACTAGCCATGACAATATATTTTTTTCTCTCCTTCCATGTGAATTGGCACAAACAGGCGGCGTCAAGCCATGTTTTAAATGGCCAAAGAGGAGGTCAAAGGAGAAGCTAAATTTGACACTAAAGCTTCTGGGGAGCAACAGTGTTTGCTTTGGGACTTCTCCATTTGGGGGTGGCTCTGACAAACTCCACTAAGCATTCTCACTCACCACACTCCCCCACCCCCCGCAGTGTGTGTCTCACCACAACACATCCAGGAAACTGTGTGGGAAAGGAGAGACAGATGGAGGGAAAATAAACAGTCTGTGCTTTCTCCAAACTAAAAATTACCTGTTGCTTATCTAATAATAATAATCATCTGCTGCAATTTTTCCAACCCTCAGAATAAATCAGATTTAAAATGCTGATGTGTCACAGCATCCGATTAACAGCTGAGGCATAAATTACAGAGCAGAGCTGAGAGAGGTAGGAGAGAACTGACTGAGATGAACCCGTGTGCCTTGGAAAAGACTGAGTAGAAGGGAGGTTGTTAAGAAACAGTGTACACGGTTATGTGGGGGCACATCACAATCTCCAAATGGTGATCCTCTGGCTTGAGCCCCTTGAACCTTGCCTTGTTCTCCCAAAGAAGGAATTTGGAGACCTGAGGGCATGGACACAAAATGGGAACTGATCCCTGGACATCTAGTACAATGTTTGGCCCCTAATAAGCACTTAGTAAATATTTATTGGCTGTATGGGTGCATGGATAGATGGATGGATGGATGGATGGATGGATGGATGGATGGATGGATGGATGATTAGTTGACACAATGGCATGGCTTATGATATATTTGATTCTTTTAATGAGCAATTATATAAGGTTCTAAATTATTTCTTAGAGATTTTTTTTTCATCCCCTGATACCACTATTCTGGGTACTCTTTCTCTCTCACTGTCTAGGAATAACTGTCCCCTTCCTAAAATGTCACTCCCCACCCTTTACTTAAAACTCTTTGATGGTTCCTCATCCCTTCAGAATGAAGCTTAAATATCCTCCCATGACATTCAAAGCCTGATATGAGCTAGCCCCTGCCTACCTCTCTCGCCTCACCCTCCATTCTCACCCCATACCCTAGTAACAGCTACGTGGAAGTACTTGCCGGAGCATAACTAGTTCTCACTCTCTCACGTCCATATGCCCAGATCCTCTGGATGCAATTTTTTCCTTACACTTCTTCCTTTCCACATTCTACCAGCAAAGCAGCTTGTAGTTTCCACCCATCCTTCAAGACCCAGCTCGCTCAGCTCCCCAGATTCCCCACGTGGGTGATCTTCCCCTAATATCATCATGCCTGCAACTCTATCATAGCAATCTTCACACTCTATTATAACCATTCATTTACTCACCTGTCTTCTTTCTCTAGACTAGGATTTCTTGAGAGTAGAGTGTACTCTAGAGAGTAGAGTAGAGAGTAGAGTGTCTGAATTTCCAGCCACCATGCTGTTTGGCGCATGGTAGGCACTCAATGAATATGAATGAATAAGTGAATGCAAGGAGGCAGTATTTATTCCAAGATAGCACTGCCTAGTCATTAATATTTTCTTTTTTCTCCTAGGTTTCTGATTCATCAAACCCATTTCTTAATCGAATGCTCAACAGAGATACTATCACAAGAATAACATATAAAAGTAAGTTTGGTTCGATTTCCTATACAACAACTATTCTATAAAGGTTAGTCCTGTCTGAAGGCAGCAAGCCAGAAATGATGATCTCAGAGGGCCTCTTTCAGCTTCATGATCCTTTAATTCTCTAGAAAGTCACTCCGGAGAGTCAGGGTTGGCTAAAAAGCAGCTCATTTCAAAAGAATGTCCCCGGGGTGCCTTTGTCATCCACGCCTGTCTAAGGCAATAATGATTATTATGAGGATGGTCATCGTTATCTCATGGATTGGTAATGAGCTGGGGGACTCTACTAGCTGACAAACTCCACCATGTCAGCTGGCCACATTCGGGGCTTCGCCAGTTATATAATTGAAAAAGCATTCACCAGGTAGTTTGGATCCAACCTCAACATTTCCAGAGCTGGACCAAATCTCCCTCTCTGTGTCGCTGGGTCCCCCTTTTCAGGCTGAGGCATCTTTCTGCACTGCTATATGTGATCCACTGCTCTAGAGGACTCTGTCCATTTCTTTGGGTTTCCAGAGTGTTTTATCCCCAGAATCCTTAAGCAGAAAAGGGAGAGCTGTGCAAAGTTGAAAGGAGAAGAAGGAAAAAGGTGCTACTTCTCCCAGAGCAATCCCAGAAGTTGGGAAAGGCTTTTTAGCTCATGCCAAGAGACAAAAGAAGTAGTACAGGGAAAAAAATATTTTTTAACTAATTAGGAGGGAGCAGGAAAGTGGGATTCAAGTCCCAACTTTGTCCTTAAGCAAGGAGCTTCTTCAATGTTAACTCTGTTTCTTCATCTGTAAAGTGAAGAAATTGAACTTCCAGTTTCTAGGGTCCGTCTGGGTCTGGGATTTTGAATTAAGCAATAGGTAAATAATGATTTCACCAAAGTAAAAAGCAGCATGCCAACATTCTTATACCCACACCCCCTCGGAGTCCCCTTCCACCAATTGAGGAGCTCAGCTGTATCTGCTGCTTCTGCTCCCGCTGGCAATGGGAAAAAGAGTGAATGCCTTCAGGTCTCCTCTTGGACTGCTGGAGGGAGAGTATGGAGATCCCTTCCCTCCTTCCTTCCTTCATTCATTCAGAAAACATTTTCTGCACCCCTGCCCATGACAAACACCAGGCGAGGCTCCCCAAATGTAAAGATGGCCTGACCCCAGCCCTCCCCACAAGGTGCTCACTGCCGAGTCACTTCCACATGAAGGGGTTGGGGTGTGGGGCGGTGAATGAACTTGGAGAATCCCAGGGCACCTTGATGGACATCACCTGAAAGAATCAGTTGTCTCCAAACCAGCGCACCCTTCCTCACCAAAGCCCCAGTGCACACTCGGGTTGCTCATCTAAGGAAGGCATTTCTGTCTCATGTGCAAATAGCACATTTTATAACTACCCATAAAATATTATTAGTCTTTTTAACTTTTTTGATTAGAAAAGCATGAAAATTAAATAAAGTGTTTTCAAATCATCTCGAATTTGCTGTGTAGAGACTGCGAAAAGCCATGAAATCGCACAATAAGCCCCAACGCCCAGTCTAACAGATTGCCAGCTGCAGAGTCAATTGTTAGTGGGACCTTCCTCCCCACCCCACGCCCAACACGGGTCTGATTCACGTTAAGGGACGTGGCTGCTGCCGACCCACAGGGGTCCATGCTATGGAAGGGTGGCCTTCCTCAGGAACAGGTCCCAGTTCTGGTGCAAACAAGGGGCTGGAGAGCCAATGGCACAGGTCTCGTTGGGACCAATGGCAGATGGCCATTTTTCGGCTGAGGGAAATTCCAGCTTCATCTCTTTGGAATGAAGCGTCCCTGCTGACTGCCGCCCCATCAGCTCCATGGGAACCGAGAAGGATGCGCTTCGGCGATAGCTGAAGTGGGCAGCAGTGTGAAAACCCAAGACCTTCATTCAGCTGTTCGCTCACTCACTCCACAGATATTTATTGAGTGGCTCCTGGGTGCCACGAGCTAGATCAATAGAACACGTTTTCTGTCCACAAGGTCCTCACTCTCTAGGTGGGGAGACAGATTGTAGTGCGTTAGAGACATTTATGTAACAAGCACAATGTAAAAAAATCTAAAGAGAATTCTTTGGGATCACATGGCAGGGTTGCACGAAGCGGGTGCCATTTCAGTAAGGACTGAAGAGATGAATAACTACTTGCTGGGGAGAGAGAGACGTGAGGAGAGGGGGAGGGGGGAAGGGGAGGGAGGAGGAAGGCAGGCAGGAAGGTAGGCCGGGAGGAGAAAAAAAGAGAGGGAAGGAGGGAGGACATTCCAAGCACAGGGAGCAGCATCCAAAGCGAGGAGAGCATTACAAGGACTGTGAAGAGCTCAGGGGCAGAAACTCTGCCTTCCTCAGCCGTTCATTGCAGTGCCCATAGTATACACAACAACCATGGGTAGGGCCTGAATTAATGGAGGCATGAGTGGCACCTGCCATAGCAGTGACAGGGACAGAGGGAGTGACAGGAAAGGCGGTTTGGGTCCAGATCTTGAAGGGTCTTGAAGCCTTCCAAGGAGTTTAGGCAGAAGCCTATTTGAAGAAATGCCCTAGAAATGCAAATGGAAGGCAGTGGGAGCAGCCCTTCTCCCTCAGTCATGGCCAAGGAAAAAGAAAGGGGACGAAAGCAGGACCAAGAGACCCCACATGGGGAGAGCTAACTGCTTTAGGCCTCCTAATCGCAGTTGTCTGTGCTCTCACACTCTGGGCAGTAAGGGAGTTGTTCCCGGTAGCACCTTTATCACACACCGCAAGGATAATGATGGCCCTACCAGCGGGAATGGCCTCGACCCCACTATGCCCAGGACACCATGGCCGAAAGGGATTGATTTGCTCAGCAGGAGAGCACCAGCACTCTTCCATCCGCTAAACTCCCCGAGGCAGCCAGCCTGCGGAAGACTGGCCTGGTGGCAAGTGGGGGATGTTCCCAGTGAACGGGAATCATGGGTGGGAAGCAAGCCCGGAAGCCTCCCCAGGGGAGACATCGCTACCTGCTTGGGGGCATCTATCAGAGTCCCCTGCTTCCATACTTCCGAGTAAGAGTGAAAGAAATTGATCCCTGCCCCCCAGGCCACCCAACCACATTACCCAGGGACACCTGACCTGGACCCCCACCCACTCTGCTGCTACCCAGAATCCCACCCCAGCATAGCTTCAATTTGCCCCACTCACTTAGACATGGTACCCACTCTGCCACGTGCTGAGCATGAGGAGTAAGGAAGCAACACTGAGCACTTCCCACATCTCAGGCTTTGTGCTGATAGCTTTACCGGCAGCACCTTCCCTGAAGCTCACCTTCACTAGGCACCCACCTGGGGAAAGTACCCACCTTCAAAGTGGGTCTGATTGCTATCCCAATTTACATATGAGGAAACCGCGGCCTGAAGAAGGGAAGCGATTTGTCAAGGACACCCATTTTGTAAGCAGCTGTATAAGTCAGCAACTTCTGCACAGCGAACAAGCATTCAACAGGAAGCACTGATTTCTCCCGTTGCAGCTGTGGGTCTGTGGGTCAGTGAGGGCAGCTTGGCTCCACATGGCTCTTGCTTTTCTGGGATTGGGTAGATAGCCATGGCAAGCACTTCTCATGGTGGAGATCAGAAATACGTGATGTTCCGTAAGGCTTAGGCTTGAAACTCACAAACCATCACTTCCATCCCCTCTTAACTGGCCAAAGCAAGAGACATGGCCAAGCCCAATATCAAAATCCGCCCATGGAGGTGGGGGCGGGATGGGAGTGAACACTTCCTGACCAATAATCTAGACTTCCATAGTGAGAGAGCAAGGATTCAAACACAGGTCCTCCCGGGAACTTTTCTGTGCCCCCGTCTTCCCATCATGCTTCCTCTCTAGGGATAGAGAAAACCTTAGCTCCGAGGTCTTAAAACTAGTTGTAATGATGATACTTGTGCATTGCATGAAACTGGGCAGCATGTTTTTTTCTTAATTCTAACTTTGGTTCAGTTTCAAGAGCCATCTCCTCGCTTTTTGCATTTGTTTGCAAAATGGAAGAGACAGAAACTAACCATAGAGCTGGTGGGCATGTTGAAAGTTCAGGTTCATCCTATTCCAAGCTCTCTGCAACTCCTGCCTGTGCCTTGGCATGGAACCACTGGTAGGAATCAGCATCATCCAGAAGGACACAGTGGCACTGCCTTCACTACCTGAGAAGGTGTAGACTTTTGTTCCAGATGGGTCAATCCTCCCTATCAGTCTTTCTCTTGGAGGCCATTGTAATGAGAAATCAATCTAAGACTTTGAGCAGGGAATCTAAGATCTGCTGACAAGGATCACTGTGGTTGCATATTTGGAAAGAGACTGTAGAGGGGCAAGGGTCAACGCTGGGAGATAATTGCAACCATCCCAATGATTCAACAATGTCAATCATGATCCCAGGCCAATGTGAAGGGGGCGGTGAGAAATGATGGGGTATATTTTGAAGGAAGAGCCACGAGATTTCTTGATAGATTGGATTTATGATGTGAGAGAAAGAGAGGAGTCAAGGATGACTGTAATGCTTTAGCCCAGGCATCTGGAGGGAAGACTCCCATCAGCGGAGCTGGGGAAAGCTGTGATGAAGCATATTCGTGGGTGAGGAAGGGAATCAGAAGTTTCGAACGTGGTAAACTTGAGATGCCTGTTGGGCATCCAAGAAGAGGTGAAGCGTGGGCAGTTGGTTATATGAGTCTGGATTTCAGGAGAGAGAACTGCAGATATAAATGTGGAAGTCACTGGGATCCAGATGGCATTTAAACCTGGGTGAAATCATGAGTGAGAATAAATAGAGGAGAGAGGCGGGACATTTCCTCATTTTTGAAAGAGCAGCTCAAATACCCATACTTAGGATTGCAAATCATTTCTAAAGATATCTTTTCAATCCCACCCTGGAAGAGGCTCTTGCATGTCTGTCTCATCAACTAGCTGGAGAGGTACAGGTGAGTGGGAGCAAGCATGGAAGCATGGGGCGGAATCACCACAATGGCACCTAGTAGGTACACAGTCCATTTGCTTGAGTTGGTCACAGA